CCCTAAACCCCTAAACCCTAATCAAATCATGGCAGCATGTTCGCTATCCATGTCGGGGCCGCAGTATCCACGCGCCGACCTGAGGGCTTCTCCTGATGAATCGAGAGGCTAAGCTTAGGGCTTGTAGGGTTAAGAGGGTTTAGGGTTNNGGTTAGAGGGTTTAGGGGTTTAGGGTTTGGGGCTTAGGGGTTTAGGGCTTAGGGGTTTAGGGTTTGGGGGGTTTAGGGTTTGGGGCTTAGGGGTTTAGGGCTTGGGGGTTTAGGGTTTAGGGGCTTAGAGGCTTAGGGGTTTAGGTCTTGGGGGTTAAGGGCTTATAAGTTGTTTTTGTTGGTCTGCTTTTGGGGTTCGACTCGCGCACTCGCGGAGCAGGCACGGATTCAGGGGTCGGGCGTGCTACTTGAACATCATAGCACATGCGAGCGCTGGAAAAAGGTGCAAGCAACTGGACCAGTTTGGGTTTAAAGGGTTGCAGCAGGTGTTATTGTGTTATAAAGGTTCTATCAGTTTCTATAAAAATAAGGGGTTTCTCTATTTATATATATATATATGTATATATATATATATATATATGTGTGTGTGTGTGTGTGTATGTTGTGTGTGTGTGTGCGTGTGTGTGTGTGTGCGCGGGTGTGTGTGTGTGTGTGTGTGCCTGTGTGTGTGTGTGTGTTGTGTGTGTGTGTGTGTTGTGTCTGTGTGTATCGTGTGTGTGTGTGTGTCTTGTGTGTGTGTGTTGTGTGTGTGTGTGTGTGTTGAGTGTGTGTGTGTGTGTTGTGTGTGTGTGCGTGTGTGTGTGTGTGTTGTGTTGTGTGTGTGTTGAGTGTGTGTGTGTGTGTTGTGTGTGTGTGTGTGTCTTGTGTGTGTGTGTGTCTTGTGTGTGTGTTGTGTGTGTTGTGTGTGTGTGTGTGTTGTGTGCGTGTTGTGTGTGTGTGTGTATGTGTGCGTGTTGTGTGTGCGTGTGTGTTGTGTGTGTGTGTTGTGTGTGTGTTGTGTGTGTGTGTGTGTGTTGTGTGTGTGTGTGTTGTGTGTGTGTTGTGTGTGTGTGTTCGTTTATCATGTGGATGTAGGGCTTCCTTCTGTGGCTTGGGGTTCGAGCATCCCATAAGTGTACCAAGTAGAGCGTACCCGTACTCTCCTATTAGGGTTGAGGGTTCTGCGGTTCAGGGCAGCACGGTAATCATCCAAAACGGCATTGCCGCGGAAAGCATATACTAACTTGAGCCGAAGTATCTGAGGGGCCGGAAGCCACCACCAGCCAGAGCAGCCTTTATAACAGCCTCCCGCTTGCGCCAAAGGTCCCAAAGCGAGTTGCTTGGGCCCACGGTGAGTCTTTCCTGGGGTCACAAAGATTTCATGGGCGTACGCTGTTAAAATCAAAAGAACCGACAGCTAGACATACCCAAACGCGAACCCTAAATGCATTGAGCACAAAACCGTACGACCCTGTACCCAAAACGCCCTAAGCGTCTTAAACCATTAGAGCCCGAAAAGAGCCCAAAACTTAAACTCTAAACCCTAAACCTTGAACCCTAAACCCTAAACCCCTAAACCCTGAACCCTAATTGGAGCCCGAAAAAAGCTAAATGTCGTAGGCTTTCCGCACCAGGACTTCACCTGCCGCCTCCGCTCGTCGGGCGCGACAGTCTTTCAGAGCCTGCAGGAGGCAATAAGGGCCTTTAGGGTTTAGGGTTTAGGGGTTTAGGGTTTAGGGTTAAGGGTTTTTGGACTTTGTAGTTTAGGGCCTAAATAAGTAAAGTAGGGTTTTAGGGCCCATTATACCATAGTTATAGTAAAGAACCCCCCCCCAAAATACTATAGGTAATCATCTAGGCTTCTATATTCGCTTAGGGTTTAGAGCATGGGGTTGATGGCTTTTGTAGTTCCTCTTGGGTTTTTGTAGGGTTCTTGTGGGCTTTCAATGACAGAACTTGTGTTGTGTTTTTTTTGGCGTCTTTAGGGTGTAGGGTTTCTGTAAGGGTGCCGTTGAAGGACTTGTAAAGGTTCTATGAGGGCTTTTGGTTTAGGGCGTTAGATGTGTGCCTGAACAGGATGAGGGTTCGCTCTGGTTGGGAAGTGGGTTTAGTATTTAGGGCTTTGGATCTCTGGTGTAGGATGTAAAGCTCAGGATATATGAAATCGGGGTTGGGAAAAAGAGGTCAGAATTTAAGGCTTAGTACGGATCGACAGTTTAACTTTACCTGTCGCACCAAATCCCACGACCGTAGACCGTATGAACCCTACACCCTTGAACCCGAAAGTTGGGATTGCAGGTCTAGAGCGAGGATTCGACATTGACATACCTAAACCGGTCTTACCATATTCAACACCCGATTCAAGGTTTAGGGTTAACCCCTAACCCCTAAACCCCTGAACCCCTGAACCGGTTCTTTGTCTCTGTAAGTGCCAGTCGTCAAGAGCCTGCAGGTGCTGCGCTGAGCTTGTGAGCTTCGCAGCATCCTCTGCGGCACGCAGCTCCTCAGCGATCGGCTTGCAGAAAGCGGCAGGGATACTTAGAAGAAGGGTTTGGGGTTTGGGGTTTAGGGTTAGAAGAACAGTAGAATACAATATACTGTATGACTCTGTATGACTATATGAATCAAGGAATCAAGGACTACATGGAAACATAGTTGCTATTTGCTCCGAACAGCTACCAGTCGTTCAAGTCTCGTTGCTCTAAGGGTCCCGATTCTGTTGAGAGCCTCCCACGAAGCCCCTGGGCCCCTAAACCCAGAGCCCCTAAACCCCAACAAAACCCCTAAACCCTTAACCCCTAAGCCTAACCCTGAACCTGAACCACAAAACCCAAAACCCCAAAACCCCAAACCCCTAAACGCCCAAACCCCAAACCCCTAAACGCCCAAACCCCTAAACCCTAAACCCCAAACCGCTGTGATAAGCCCCTGAAGCCTAAACCAAGGAGCAGCCTTCGGAGCTTTTGGGCCGGTCCTACCCAGAGGCCCCTGTTCCTTATAGACTTTAGGGTTTAGAGTTTCGGGTAAGATAGTTATAGAATTTAGGGTTGTAGAGTTTACGGTTTAGTGTTCAGGGTTATAAAGTTTTGCCGATTAGGGTTTAGGGTTATTTTGTCCCTCTCGCACGGCAGAGAACTACGCTCACGGCGAGGTTGATGAGGACAGATTAGGGTTATAGTGTGAAGGGTTTCGGGTTATAGGGTTAAGTGTGTTCGGGGGCCGAATATACGGGCTTCAAGGTTTTATGCTTGGTTTCCAAGGGCGTCTCTGCCAGTCTTGGCCGAAGTTGATTCCAATGCAAATGCCAAGAAATCTGCACCCTCAGGAAACTGCTAGACCCGAAACCCAAAACCCAGAAACCCCGTCAACACCTCAACGCCTGTCTGAACCAAGTCTCATCCTCGGTCTCACGCCGGTCATTTCCCATATCCCAGGCTTGCAGCTCTACCTGAACTTCAGGGGCATTGGGTTTGGGGGGCTTAGCCGTCTGACTAAGGATTATTCGACAAAGCAAGCCGCACATTCTCAGGGACAAAACCTTCGTAAGTTTTGTGCTAGCTTTTTGCCACACTTTCACCTACTTGGACGGTCTCACTGAGCCTGGAAGCAAAGTCTGAGATAAGGTTTTCGGGTTTCGCATTTTTCCCAGTGGCACCTTATTGCTGGGTTTGATCAGGGTCGCGAGTGCGGGTGTAAGAGACCAGAGTATCCCGGAAAAAAAGAGCTGCCTCAACTAAGCAATGGTCCTGAACTTATTACAAGAAGCTCTTGCAACAGCCCATTGCTTCGGGCTCTCTAGACCTCATGACGCCCTGTGAAAAAGACCAATCCAAAACCCAAAACGCCTTGGTACTATTTTACATTGCTCTCCCTGGGCCCTAAAACCGCCTACACCCAAAGCCCTGAACCGCACACCCCACACCGTAGCAACTATCTATAGTCTCCGTTGTAGTTCCTTTTTTGGTTTAACCATATGTGCCAAAAAGGAACTACAATGGAGACTTTATAGGTAGGGTTGAGGGTTTTATGTCGAACAGCCAGCACCTGGCGGACGCCCCGCTGCTGCATGGTGTCTGCGCCTGGCGAGATTCATGTAGGGGCCTGAATAATGACCAATACTATTCTGGGGGGCTCCGCAATATATTTATAGTAGAATGGGCCCCCCGAACCCAATTCTAGTTACCCAAAGGGTCCTATGTACCGTCAATGGGGGATACGTCCCTAAATCATAATA